CCCCCCCCCCCCGCCATAAATGACCCGTCCCTAACCTTTAGTGCTCACCTGAACTCTGTTGTTGTTAAAATCACTGACAATCAGTCTGTCATCATGTTTGTAATCAACTGCTATGCCACAGGGATGCTGGAATTCTCCACAACCTGAAATACATTATACACACATAATCGGTTAACAAATATTTACATGTATGAAGGATTATTTGTAATTGGGGTGGCGCATTTTCCCGCGCGTAATACAAATTAATACAAAATTTGCAAATTTCGTAGGGCTATATTTTCCTCATTTTACAACATTTCGCGGCCGAACTTTGCAATTTTACTAATTTTAACATGCTCTTTCTAGCTGTGGTGATGGATTTTGTTCATCATCAAAATTTAGTCTATACAGCTGGAATCATCAATTGGTGAATTGCGCCACACACCTGAACCCTGTCTTCCAATACTTCTGTTCCTCAATATCTTATCATATCGATAATCTCGCACCATTTGCCGCCCCTCATTCCAGATCTTGCTATTCTCTCGTGAGATCACAGAGCCAAGTTGAAAATCTTTGCCATCCACTCCAGAATTTCCACGTCGTTTGCTGATCATTAGATCTTTCGTCTCCGAACAGTTGTTTTGATTTTTATTTCGTTTGTTCTCTTTTTCGACCGTTGAAACAACAGTGGAAATGTCGTCTGTGTAAAGAAAATGTTTGATTCGAATTTGAAGGGTAAAGGTTGTGGGACGGAGGCTTATTAATCACGCAATAATCTTGTCAAGATGTGCTCGCAACAGACGTGTAAGCAAACTTGTAACAATGCTGCTATCTGATCAAATTGCTACAAGGTTGTCACTCACAAGTTGTTGACAAATTGTTGAATTGAAGGACGATAGCAAGTTGTTGGAACAACTTGGAACAAAACAAGTCTGTTACAAAAGTCTGTTAAAGCTCAACAACCTTGTAGCAAGTTGTCAACAATCTGGGAACAAGCAGTGCGAACACATTCTGATAACAAGTTGTTGAAATAGCATTGGTACAAGTCTGCGTTTTACGAGGACACAGCGCTTTTGACTGCCACCATTTTGTGTGAGGATGGAATCAAAACAGCTAATGTGGAACGGATACTGGGGAATCAACAGTCATAAGTCAATACAATATATAAATCAATCAGAGTCACTATCTTGATCTTTCTGAGGCAAATGGTGTCTCCAAAGAAAGTACATGTGCAGACAACATCAACTTTAGACTGCAGAAAATTGTACAGCAGTTATCAAACTCATGTCATAGAAGTTGTAAAGGACATGTGTGACAACTGAACGGTACCCTTTTGTAGAGTTTTTGGCCAGGGGTGGGTATTTATTTTAATTGATATTTGAGGTTGGGTAAACTTTTTTTTTACTTTGTAATGGTTGGATGAGCAAAATGTTTACCAAGAAAACATTTCTCTTTGGTGCCACCGCCGGTCATAAATAACGAACGATTCCTAATTCAAATATCATACCGTTATCATCATCAGATTCAACACCATCATGCACTTCGGGTAAGGTCAAACCGTTAGACTGCTTCTCTTGAGTAAGATGTTCTGCCCACATATCCCACGATGCATTGCGAATTGCGGTCTCGACCGCTGCGACGAATGTAGTGCCAGTCTTCTGATTGGCAACGCGATTGAGCTGTGAGTGAATGAGATGTTTCAGTGACAAGATTTCAGCATCCGTTCCGTGTTTGAGAAGAATTTGAGAGAATTTTACAGCATCTGTAATCTGCAGCAAAAACGTAGGAAAACTATATAACAAACTAACTTATTAAAATAAATAACTATTAAATTATCTAACTAATTAATTAACTAACTACTAAATGCTAAAATAATATTCAAGATTTTAATAGGATTTTAAAGAGGACAATATTAAAATTAAAAAACTTATTAATAATTAATTCATGAGGAAAAGACTGACCATGTCGCTGGTTTTATGTGATAAAAAATCATGAAATTGACATAAACTTTAGCTTTGATTTTCTCTGCTTAGACAACGTTGAATTTTAAAATTACTTCGCCAATGAACTCACAAGATGGGTCGCCTTTTAAGCCATTTAAAACACGAGTGCTAATTATCAGAGAGAAGATACTCGACTGTCGCCTCGTGTCTTATATCCGTTAAAGCACCCTTGCTCGTGTTTCAAATGGTACATATTCCATTTTAAGACAAATCGTTACTTTTCATGAAAGGTACCTTTTCTATTCTTCGCTCTTCCTTCTTCTGTGCATGTTTAATCAACTCAAACTGTTTGTCATACCATTTGAGAACTTCTTGCAACAATTGGTCTTCGTGTTGTTTGATTTTTTCTTTATATTCAATAAAATATGTCTTAACTTTATCACACAACTCGCCCTTACGATCACGGAGTTCGTCGACAAGACTACAACAGCGTGAGGCACATTTCTCGTGACTACCAACCTTGAAGAATACGTTTAACAATTTTATTGAGAATTCTACAGCAACATTGAGAACATTGTACTAGTAACTAGGCATCGGCCATTGTCAAACAGAAGCACACGACATACAATGTACAATACAACAGTAATAAGAAAAGATGAAAGACAGCTAGTCAGAGACTATGGAATGAAAAGATCAGAATGAGAAGATGTGGTAGACATTGCAGAGAAGGTGAGGGAAGCAAGGTTGAGATGGTATGGACACGTAATAAGAAGAGATGAAGGAGAGCTGGTCAGAGACATTATGGAATGAAGAGATCAGAAGATGTGGGGTGGTAGACATTGCAGAGAAGGTGAGGGAAGCAAGGTTGAGATGGTATGGACACGTAATAAGAAGAGATGAAGGAGAGCTGGTCAGAGACATTATGGAATGAAGAGATCAGAAGATGTGGAGGTGGTAGACATTGCAGAGAAGGTGAGGGAAGCAAGGTTGAGATGGTATGGACACATAATAAGAAGAGATGAAGGAGAGCTGGTCAGAGACATTATGGAATGAAAAGATCAGAAGATGTGGGGTGGTAGACATTACAGAGAAGGTGAGGGAAGCAAGGTTGAGATGGTATGGACACATAAGAAGAGATGAAGGAGAGCTGGTCAGAGACATTATGGAATGAAGAGAGCAGAAGATGTGAGGTGGTAGACATTGCAGAGAAGGTGAGGGAAGCAAGGTTGAGATGGTATGGACACGTAATAAGAAGAGATGAAGGAGAGCTGGTCAGAGACATTATGGAATGAAGTGATCAGAAGATGTGGGGTGGTAGACATTGCAGAGAAGGTGAGGGAAGCAAGGTTGAGATGGTATGGACACGTAATAAGAAGAGATCAACGAGAGCTGGTCAGATACATTATGGAATGAAGAGATCAGAAGATGTGGGGTGGTAGACATTGCAGAGAAGGTGAAGGAAGTAAGGCTGAGATGGTATGGACATGTAATAAGAAGAGATGAAGGAAAGCTGGTCAGAGATGTTATGGAATAAAGTGATCAGAAGATGTGGGGTGATAGACATGGCAGAGAAGGTGAAGGAAGCAAGGCTGAGATGGTATGGACGTGTAATAAGAAGAGATGAAGGAAAGCTGGTCAGAGATGTTATGGAATGAAGAGATCAAAAGATGTGGGGAGGTAGATATTGCAGAGAAGGTGAGAGAAGCAAGGCTGAGATGGTATGGACACGTAATAAGAAGAGATGAAGGAGAGCTGGTCAGAGACATTATGGAATGAAGAGATCAGAAGAAGATGTGGGGTGGTAGACATTGCAGAGAAGGTGAAGAAAGTAAGGTTGAGATGGTATGGACATGAAGCTAGATATAAAGGGAACAGACAAATGGCGGAAATTGAAGAAGGATGGACTATGTGAAAAAAGACATGTGGTGGACAAATTTAGAAAAAAGGTCGGGTAACATGGTACCTCAAAGTCAAACGTGTAGTTCAGGTGGAGTTCTGCATGGGTTGAATTGATTGGAACAATGTAGAATTTTGTATACGTGTCTGTATCCGTGTCTGGATCTGGGTCCGAAGCGGCCAAAGTATAAGAAAGATTACCAGCACGGCCTGGGGAGGAGTTCTCTACTATCCATGCTAAATAAACAAGTACAATTTTTTAATATTGTAGTAACACTGGATCAATAAGAGGTATAACTCTTACTGGACTTCTAGGGAGAACAGTTTAGAACTGATACAGCTATCCAGTACAAATAAAGTTTAGTTTACGTTTCCTCCTGTAGTGACACTGGATCAATAAGAGGTTACTCTTACTAGACCTCTAGGAAGAACAGTTTAGAACTGATAGGGCTATCCAGTATAAATAAAGTTAGTTTAGTTTAGGTTTCCTCCTGTAGTAACACTGGATCAATAAGAGATTATCCTTACAGGACCTCTAGGAAGAACAGTTTAGAACTGATAGAACTATCCAGTATAAATAAAGTTAGTTTAGTTTAGGTTTCCTCCTGTAGTAACACTGGATCAATACGGGATGATCCTTACTGAAACTCTAGGGAGAACAGTTTAGAACTGATAGAACTATCCAGTATAAATAAAGTTAGTTTAGTTTAGGTTTCCTCCTGTAGTAACACTGGATCAATAAGAGATGATCCTTACTGAAACTCTAGGGAGAACAGTTTAGAACTGATAGAGTTATTCATGCAGCATAATGAAGTTAGTTTAATTTAGTTTTAAAAAAATGCAACATACTTTGGTTGTTTTGTTCTTCATTAATATCCAACAACCAAAACGGCTTTGGAGTAGATATGTCCACGGAAACTAAAAATTACAAGATTATTGCAATATTCATAGTTCATATTTTTACGTGAATAAAAAGGATTAACAGTCAGAAATGATTCTGTCCCTAAAATAACCTGAAAACGTTCCCACTGGTAGTAGAATTGCCTGGTTTTAAACAAAGTAAATACTAATTTAAAAGCCAACATTGTTCATAACTGATCGACAAGGACAAAGTTTCAATCTAAGCCATTCAGGCTGACCAAACATTAATGCTAATATCTCAACACTGATATCATGACAAAATACATAATATATTTACGGAAGAATCTAACTAAACACTGACTGGGAAGGGGAGTGTTGCCCCCCCCCCCCCTGTCTCGTACGCCTATGGGAAAGAGTTACGGTGTCAAATAGAACTTGTCAAGGAAATAACTCGTCCGCACAAAACTCAAGATTAAAAAAACGTCTACTGTCGATAGAAAGATTCTTTGTCAGGGAGTTGCCAGTGTCTCCATGACCCAATAATTTCATAACAAAGGTCTTTATCTAGAAACATAAGTTGCCATAAGTGTATTTAATATTTTTCAGGCAGTTCCGACAAAAAGCACGGCAGCTTATCGTAGAACGAAAATGCCTGGAAAGCCATATGCGCTAATTAATTTGCGAAGACAACTTTTGAAAAATAGTCATGTGAGTTATTTTAGGTTTTTCGCTTATATTCTTATTCCCACGGTAAATTTGTAGAGCTCATACTGCGCTGATAATTTCATGCTATTCTTCTCAAAATCACCTGCAAGCAGGCTGTGTATATGGCCAGTCTACCGTATCATTGATCTGCAAGCCCTAGCAACAGCAGGCAACACACTGTAGGCATTGTATGATCTCAGCACTGGCTGCATGGACATTCCCAATAAGGCGATATAATCAAGTGATATTCAAGAAGACTGTAGCGCTGTAGTAATTTTTGAAGCTTTCTAAAATTGCCCTTTAACTGGTATCTAGATTAAACTTTTGTATTTATAAATTAACGTTTCGTTTATTGATTGTGAAGGTCAATATCCGTAGTTTTATAACTTTTTAACTGATTTTGACAACTGTTAATAAGCGAGTTGGCAAGCGAGAATTTGCACGAAGGTTTAATCAACGGATCTCATGCCCCGGTCAAACGAAAACAAGAGTTGTATGAGAGTTGATGAGAGTGGAGAAGCGAGAGTTTACATGAGACTTTTCTCAACTCTCAAGTCCCGGTCAAACGCGAGAACAAAAATTACATGAGAGTTGATGAATGTTGACTGGATATTATACCGTTCAAACGAGCAAAAACTCTCATCAGGTGGTTGTATATTCAACTAGTTAATTTCTGTTTCGCAAAATAGCTCTCTCAAACGTGGAGTTCACTGTATCGAGAATATTTCTCAATAAACTTTCTAATCTTTTTCAAGTAATTTAAATCTGAAATACGCGCTAACAACTTAAAAACCGTTGAAACAACTTTGAAACCTCTAAAATTTTGATCAAATAATGCTTTCGTAACTGAGAACACGAGCCTTCTACGATATGAATTGAATGAGCGTTGGAGTAATTTTTAGACGGTAAAACACAACAACACTTTAGCGATATTTTGAATAACTTACGTATATTTGTTAAATTGGCATGAAATCAATTTCTTACATGATTATAGCGCGATGTTCAATTGAGCATGAAAATTTTACAAAAGATTAGAATGCTGGTATGACGGAACACTTTTTCGTGGTCAACTCACGTTCCTTCGTTCCAATCTCAAGTGAAGAATTACTTATGCGAATCTTAAAGTTATTGAACAGTGCAGCTGAAAATTATGTTTTCATTTCTCATAAAACCAGTCAAAATAAAAAGAGCAAGGACTTTGACGAGAAAATACTACAAGGTCACTAAACATAGAGTATTTATGCGACAATGCGGTTAAATCTTGGTTGAAACTTCCTATTTTGATGAGAAATCTTATTCAGTATTGTTCCACAATAGATTTAGTACGTTCGTCAACATATTCCTAACTTAGCCAGCTCTTCGCCACTTCTAAATAGACTAAAGCGTCCGAAATTCTCACTTTAGGCCGAAATTATGACACACGCCACCAAGAACACGTTTAAATAGAGCGCTTTATCCATACTAGGAACGAACTACTATTAACACTTTAAAGAGTAATTTCTAACCTAGCAGCTTAATACTAAAATAATAACAACGAGTAAATACAACATACCCACTATCTTTGCCGCAGCTAATATGAACAGAAGCAACAAACTTTTGTCCCAAACCATATTCCAATTTTGTGTACTTTGTCTTTGAAACGAAAACAACCACAAGTATATCCAAGTTTATTGTACGGTGTCCTTTTATAACTTTACTTCACTTTATCGTTGCGGTGTCCAAATTAAAACAGCTCCCTCAGCTCTTTGTATGAATATTTTGCCACAAAACTTTGCCTTTCAGCAAGTACTTTGAGCATAGATGTAGACTCTTCATGTATCATTAATCATTTGGTAAACAATTCAAGCATATACTGCGTATATTGACAAAATATTCACCCAAACTGGCAGCTCAATTCACTTTCGTTTGGGAAAAGCCAACACAAACTTGTATACTTTATTTTTAAACCGGTGTCGGGGCAGCAAATTTCTCACACGCGAAATTCGTCATACATACAGGAATCCAGCTGTGAATTGCACATTAATAGTACGGTTAAAAGCTTGTATTTTAATGCAAATTCATAGTCGAAAAACTCCATATTTAATTCTGCATAGCAACAGAGGCGGACATGATTGTCTATAATCTAATCTCTATTGAAAGTGGATTGTTTATCAAACAATGTCAGTCTCTCTCCGCTTCAGTATTTTACTCCGAATGCCAGAGCATTTTTCTTCTAAATGGGACGAGAATGGAGGATTTTTCTTCTCGAACGGGAAAAGTTGTCTAAAAATACAAAATTTAAAATTTAAAGCGAGTCAATCGATGATCAAGCATTTGTTATTGAAAATGTCGAAAGCTTTCCCTAGCGTATATTGCCTCGTTAGTCTGCATGGTCAATAGCGGAATTAATGCCACTAATCCCTTGGAGTTATTAGTTAAAACGGTGATTGTTGGTGTGGCAGTAGCCTGACGCCCAGGCTGGAGGGTTTAAGGGTTAGGGTTGAGGTGCGGGTGGCGAAAAAATTAGGGAGGCAAGCAGGCTAGTGTCGCAATGGTCCGTACATATATGTATCTTTCGTCTCTGTGACTGAGATTTGATTCCTGCAATATGCAGTGATCTGATTATAATTTCACCTCACTCACATGTGAGAAGAGTGCTTTGAGACTCTACCAAACAACACAAATTTCCGCATACATTCTAGTTTCCTTCTGCAATAAGACTAGACCAAGTTTATAACAGATATATACAGTGTTGGTGTAATGTACTCAGGTGAATATGATGCTTGTGATATTACTCTGAGTGTATATCCACACCGGGCAATTCAATATATCCACACCGGGCAATTCAATTCTAGTTCAATATTTTGGAACTAGATCAGTCTGTTCCGAAATATCGCATACTCGAACCGACCAGACCGCGTAGCTCAGTTGGCAGAGCATTGGGCTAGTATTCTATAGGTAGTAGGTTCGTTTCCCACCGTGGTCAGGCATATTTTTCAAGCTTGCCCGGTGTGGATATACACTCAGAGTAACATCACAAGCATAAGATATATACAGGCTTCCTCCATAACTTCTCCTGTTCGAATCGACTATATACGATCGTATTTTATTTCGTTCAATGTCTAACTCCTTCAAAGGGCAACCCTACCTTCCTATTTCAGTCATCTGATTGACCAAATCCGTTCATAAGATAAGCGCTTTCAAACCTCGTCCCCAAGCCTCGGCGCTTCTTGACAATCGTGCGCGGCCAACAGGTACTTGAAATGCTTGAAACTAAACAAAAATGACGTTATGCATTTAAATCAATCAACCAAAAAAGTCCCAACAAAAACCAATTTCAACGCATGTTACTGTTAGAAATATTGACAAATGTTGTCTCGTTTTTAATGACTTACGCCTAAACACTTCAATTAACATTCGTTGAAATCAGTTTTTGTTGAGAATCGCAACAATTTTGTTGCCTGTACGTGATTAATTATATTGTGCGCACTCATGCGAGCCGACAAAACAAACAGACGAATTTTTGCGTTATTACAGCAATTAAAAAATTCTGGAAGGCGCTTTGAAATTGTACATGATTTCAAATGACTTCAGTTACTCAGTTAATCTAATGTAAAAATTTGTTCGCATTGGAAAACTGGTAACATTTAAAGACTTTAAAACGACAGTCTAGCTGGACAGACTGTTTTGACGGATCGGTCAAATTATTACGGTTGGATAAACTGGCAATACTATTATCGTGATTCGACGATTAGCAAGAAATTTGGCGTATATTTTTAAAGATAAGAAGAAAACAGCGTGAATTTTGTTGATATTTGTGGTTCATATGTTTATATGCGAAGGATTTTTTCTGTAGATTTAAATTACTCAAAGATCGGGCAGAAAAATCATCAGTTTTAAAGTGTGGAATTCGGAGCGGACCCTAGCATACGAAGTGTCAATTCAACCTGTTCACCAAGAAATCTATATTTGTCAACACATGGAGTGAATTTTGGCATATTTCCTACGGCTCCGTTTTCTTTAGTTGATCTGCCAATCATGCCTTTTTTACAGAGGGTAGAAATGGCGCTAAAGGTTTAAAACATCAATGATAATAAGATACGCTCTTACTTGCCCAATTATAAAACAATAACTCGAATCATTGCTGTCATAAATATATCAACGTCCGTCTTAAACTATCGCGGCGTTCATCCTAAAATCAGAAAGTTGGTCTATAAAGACTATAAAAATATAAGCTTCGAGGTTGGTCAGTGGGTCATTTTACAGTAGCTGCAAAATTATTGGCATAAGAAATATTCGAGCTATTTCGCTAAAACAAACCCACCGTGGATTTGGAAACATTGTCGAGAAATAGGCAAGTGAACGCTTGCCTCTACGATGTGCAAAGATCTGTGACAATATTGTCAATATATATATATATAGATCAGTGATTTCAACAGATTTATTCTGATTAGTTTAATAAATTAATAACAATCGGCCCTTATTTGAACCGGAAGTGACCAGGATACACAATGGATGGTTGTGTATATTTAACACACAGACGCTAAATTCTCGCCGAATTTAGGTCGAAACGCAGCGTTTCTATCACGTCCCCACTATGGCTAGCTGCGCAAGTATTCTTCAATTTGCGCTGATTTTAGTGCTAACACTCATTAGCATAAACGGCGACGATATCTCCTCCAGCGTTCAAGTAAACGCGGCGTATGACGAACTCTATGCGGATGCCTTGCGCATTTACTACAATGACGATTGGGGAAATGCAATTGTAAAATTCGATGCCGCAATCGAGGATTGGAAAAATGAAAGAAAATTCACAATTATGTGTAGGTATGAATGTAAAGAAGCGCTCGACGCAAGCAGACAGGGAAACACGGAATCGTTTGCAATCGAATATCTGCGTTATTTAAGTTACATGAGGATTTGTTCTCAAGCGTGTATGGAAAGGAATATGGGCAAACGACTCAAGGTTTCGAAACATACTTTCCGTTTGTTTGAAGACCGCGTGCCTTACAGTTTTATGCAATTCGCGCATCATAAGGTAAGTTATGCCTTATTTATATTTATAGAAATCTGTTCCAATTTATCTGTCATGTTTGTCTAGTTATCGAATTAAACTATATATTATACCATGCTGATATGTTAATATGCTCGCGGGCCTTATTGAAGGTCGAACGCGCCAGCACGTAAACAATTACATGCGCTTTATTAATATATTATTCTGCGCTACAAATAACAACAAAGTCAAATTTTAACACTGTGATATCACGCACAATAGACCCTTTCGATAATTACGTATCTTATCTTAGCCTGCATGGGAGCCTCATTTTCATGTTTCAAGATGAACGGTGATAGGCTCACAATGCACGAGAGTGAGGCTCCCAGGCCAAAACAAGATATGTGACTTAATTATCGAAAGGGTCTATTGCCTGATTTATTAATAGTTTAATATTTATTGGATAAACTGATAAACAAATTTAGTTAACTTTTTTTATACGCAATTCACAAGGTTAGATAACCCACATGCCTAGTTACTATTGTTGTACTAAGCTTTAGAATAATGTACACGATTGAATAACTCTTAAACATATTGATTCTAACGCCCGTATTCTAAAAGCTCACTCACACTCAATGAGTGGAAGTTTAATCTGAGCTTCTCTTGAGTGTCAATGCTGTTTTTGAATAGCTGGAGGGGTAGTGTTATACCTTACTATGTGAATGCTCACCCTCCAGCTATTCAAAAACAGCATTGACACTCAAGAGAAGCTCAGATTGAACCTCCACTCATTGAGTGTGCTTTTAGAATACGGGCGTTATACTTGGTTACCTCATAGCCTACTCGAAGGAAAGATGGCTGTGAAACTCGTGCGAATAACAAGATACATGTAATAAGTGCTTTGTACGTTTGCATGGCGATAAAACATATAATAGTTTTGTTTGTGGAAAACATCACGTAAATTTATTGCTGCAAAGCTTTCGATCCGTAGGCCTGGATCTTCATCAGTGCTAATAATAATAATATGCATATTATTAGCACTGATGAAGATCCGGGCTTACGGATCGAAAGCTTTGCAGTAATAAATTTACTTGGTGTTTTCCACAAACACAAAACTATTAAATATACATGTAACTCATTATCTATGTTCGTCAACGTTTATTCGTAAATCTGGTCCTTCATGCACCGTCACGTGTGTATTACATTTTTGCCCAACTAACCAATAGCAATGTTTCAGGAAAGTTACCTATCCGAGACTTGAACAATAGGGGGGTAAACTGGAAATTACTATTAGTAGATTTGGCAAAAATATAATACACACGTGACGGTGAAGGACCAGATTTATGAATAAACGTTGACTAACATAGATAATGAGTTATATTGTTATTCTAATGAGTTTCACAGCCATCTTCCCTTCTGGCTATGCTATAACCACAGTCCTGGTTAATTTGATCACTATCGTCGCTAATTTAACCAGGTTTCCGGGTTATTTTAACCAGACTACATGGTTGAATGAACCAGATTACGAGTGTTAGGTGGATGGGACCAACAACCAAACAGAAGTTTTATTTTCTTTCCAGAATGGTAACAACAGAATCGCCATCCAAGCCGCATCAACCTATCTCCGTTTCAACCAGAGAGATGAACAAATGCACGGTAACATGAAGTATTACTCCGGCCTGCCCGAATTGCAAGACATTATTGTTGACGACATTGAAAGCTTAGCGCCAATACAGCACCACGAACTTTATGAAAAAGGCCGAAAAGCTTACAACGCCAAAGATTGGGAAAAAAGTGTAGAATACTTCGAGGCATCGTTAAAAGAATACGCTAAAGCTTACAAAGAGTGCAAAACATTATGCGAGGTTGAGGTCGAAGAAAGACAACAGTATATATATGGGGGTATCTATGGATACCATATGCAATTGTTGTTATGTACCCTCGATTGTCCCAGGAAGCTCTCGATGCTTCTTAATTACCCTCAAGCGGGATTTCTGGGAAGGCAATTTGACTTTCTCCATTACTCGTATAACCAGCGTAAGTATTTGCGCAAAGTCACATAAGAAGTTTATAAGGACGATGCCTAGTAACACCAGAGACAAGTGAGCATGTTTTCCTTGATAAGTCTGTTTTGTCGCGTTTACACATACACGAAATATCACAAACCATCTTTTCTTTCCCCAAGTTCGTCTAGACAGATCGTCTGTCCCTGCTTTAAATCGGGTCAGACGTAACTGCTGAATAGAGAAGTTTTAAACACGAACTTTTCTAAATTCATTTTCATCTCGTGTTATTTAGTCGAGCGTCGAGATGACGCGCTGCCTTGCGCAGTCACCAACCTATTGCTGAACCCAGTGAGCCCACACATGATAGATAACATGAAGTATTATACAGAGCTTGGACAGTCCGTTGACGATGTTCAACCACGAGAGGTTTGTTCAGTGTTACATATGAAGTTTAGGATTAAAGCTTCTGTGAACGAGTTCGTCTCTCACATGTGAGAAGAGTGCTTCCAGTTTGATAAGAGATGACTCTTACTGACCTCTAGGAAGAACAGTTTAGAACTGATAGAGCTATCCAGTATAAATATAGTTAGTTTAGTTTATGTTTCCTCCTGTAGTAACACTGGATCAATAAGAGATGATTCTTACTGGACCTCTAGGAAGAACCGTTTAGAACTGATAGAACTATCCAGTATAAATATGAAACCAGTGTTTTATATTTCTACAGGACGGTAAATATTTCTTTGAAGACATAAAGTCGCAAATGGAACTGCTGCTTGAAGTCAAAGCTTACTTGCTGGACTTAGACGAGGAATATAGAGGCACTGAGAACCTCGCTGACACGACATACGAGGTATGAATATCATGTTTTTTAACGGTTTATAGTCAAAAGAGAATGAGAGTTGATGTTTAGGCAACTCTTGTTCTCTTTTTATTTAGCAATTGAAGAAAATCTCACGTAAACTCATTACAAATATCAAACGAGAAAGAGCGCATGAGAATTGGCAGTCACGTGATCTTGGTTAGCTGTTCTTAATGCTTTCCAAACACTATCATGTATTCTAATGAAGTTAAAACATAGTTGGAACACTCATAAAACCTTTATTTTGTTAATCTAGAGCTTGAAATGTCCCCTGTAACAAATTGTGCATGACTGCCAACTCTCATCCCCATTTGACCCCGGTCATCATATACCCATGGTCGTTAGACACGAACTTACAATTACATATAAATTGAAAATGCTTGTTTTCTTAGACTTACCTAAAACACGGTCTGTATCCTGATGAACGCCTGCCAGAGGAGAAGAAATCGGAAACTGAAGATAAATCAGAGGCTGAAAAGGAGAAAGAATTTGAAGACGAACCTTATAAGAGATTTCCCCCACCAACGAAAGATCATATTGAAAAATTTTTACACGACAGCGAAAATTTAAAGGTACATAAACGTTACTGTTATGAGTCCTGTCCACAAGGCGGTGAGGGCAATGTAATAACCATCGCAGGGCTCAGATGTACTACAAGAGAACACCAGGGTTCTTGGGGGAAACCTGTGTTGTTTGGTAGAGTCAAACTGGAAGCATTCTTCTCACATGTGACTGAGGTGAAATTATAATCAGACAACTGGATATTGCAGGAATCCAACCTCAGTCACAGAGATGAAAGAGACATGCACTGACCACTATGCAACAAGTGTCCTATGTTGTACAAAACTTATGTAATAATGTCAAGTCTCTCCCATGGTCTCACTTTCAGGACATCTCGCTAACAATGATGGAAGAGCAGCTGAATGGAACATATCGAGCAGTATTTGATGGACTAGCGAGTGATGACGAATGTAAGAAATTGGCCAACCTTGGTTTGGTAAGGAACATTTTGTTTTGATTGGAGTAACCATAGCTTAGACCTTAGACCTAGAGGAAATACAAAGGAAGTCATGTGATACGCTCTCGTCTAATGAGATGCAAGAATGCCTGAACTCTATATATTCAATTTTTGTTTTTTATTTCAGACAATTGGTCACGCCGGAGACGGATATAAGGATGACCCTAGTCCACACACGGTTAAAGAGGAATTTCGAGGGGTAAATGTGAACAATGCAACTTGGGTAAGTATGTGTCCACATATATATCCATATTTAGCCTTCTTAGAAGCCGTCCACACACATGATCCCGCTTTGCCAGAATGCCTCTCATGCACTCTTTGAGCTGGTTCAAATTTTGATGAGAATTGAAGAGTTTTTACTCGTCTATAGCCAACTCTCGTGCAATTCTAATTTCAGAATACTTTCATCCAATCTCTCACTTCTTAACCCCCATCGTCATTTGACCAATCCTTAATCCTGATTCTCGTATCTAACCATCTTCTCCCAGGCGGCAGCGAAAGGTGAAGTTAGTTTAGAAGAGGCTGAGCTCTATATGAGTCTGAGTGAAAAAGTGCGTGTTATATCAGAAGCGTACTTCAGATTATCAACGCCATTATACTTCACCTACACACATTTGGTCTGCAGGAAAGCACTGTCAGGTAAGACTTAGACTCATGTTACCCACTATTGCTTTTTATATCTTGTGCAGGTTCTGCTGTATGTTATCTTATTTACATGCAACTGAGCCTCTCTAATAAACAGAATCCTTTCTAATACGGACATCTCTCTAATATGAACTCCTCTGTAATATAAACCTCTCTCTAATACGAACATCTCTCTAATACAGACACCTCTCTAATACGAACATCTCTCTAATACAGACACCTCTCTAATACGAACATCTCTCTAATACAGACACCTCTCTAATACGAACATCTCTCTAACACAGACACCTCTCTAATACGAACATCTCTCTAATACAGACACCTCTCTAATACGAACATCTCTCTAATACGAACATCTCTCTAATACAGACACCTCTCTAATACGAACATCTCTCTAATACAGACACCTCTCTAATACGAACATCTCTCCAATACAGACACCTCTCTAATACGAACATCTCTCTAATACAGACACCTCTCTAATACGAACATCTCTCTAATACAGACACCTCTCTAATACGAACATCTCTCTAATACAGACACCTCTCTAATACGAACATCTCTCTACTACAGACACCTCTCTAATACGAACATCTCTCTAATACAGACACCTCTCTAATACGAACATCTCTCCAATACAGACACCTCTCTAATACGAACACCTCTCTAATACAGACACCTCTCTAATACAGGCACTTCTCCAATGCGAACATCTCTAATAAAAGCACCTCTCATATACTGTCTATAAAACTAACCACTCTGATCTAGGACACTTCGTTCTGCTCCTTCTGTGTCTTTTAGAAGGGCAACTAGAATAAAAGGTTTATACATTACATTTTTCACCAGAATCAGATGAAGGTATGCACATCAGTCATCCAGTGCACTCTGATAATTGCGTCTTAAAACATAATGGTAAAAACGTTACCTGTGTCAAAGAACACCCGGCGTACACCTGGAGAGATTACAGGTCAGTGGTTTTACTTACAAATACAGCTGAGGGTAAAATATTTGACGCACAAGATCAGCCGTTATACATGACGAGTGATGGCGTCAGCAGTTCTTCCTTGAAATCAAGAACGGCAGCCAATTAAGTATCGCATTTTTTATTTCAAACAATGGCTGTCGCCATCACTCGCCATTTGACTATAACAGCGCGATATAACGTACAGTGTATAATCACAGTGAAAACACAGACTAGAGACATACAGAGATGTAACTAACCGCCGTAAACACTGCGGAAGCTTACGTTTTCATGTACCCACTTTTTTTCAGGCGACCTGGCAAAAAATGATCAACTGCGCGTGCTCAGCAAGTTTAAAGGGAGTCATCATCAGGTCGTCATCCAATCAGATGCATGCATCTAGTAACTTCCGAGCATGCGCACAAAAAAGTGGGTACACTAGTTACGTCTCTGTATGTCTCTACTCTGTGATTTGACTATAACAGCTCGATATAACGTACAGTGTATAATCACAGTAAAGTTCTCTATTCATCAGCGCTATGTCTGGATAAACCACACTCCTTTGCTGCTTCTCCATATTGACTTGTGGCTCATCGATTTTTTCCGAATTTTAGTGCTATATTGTATTTAAACGATGACTTCATTGGAGGGCAATTTATATTTGCAAGAAAAAACCAAACTGTTCAGGTATAGTCAGTTTCTTACCGTATGACCACTACTTTCCCTTGCTGGAAATCTACAGAGACAAACTGAAATCTGATAGAGCTATCCAGTATAAAATTTGTTTGCTTTTAATTTAGGTGGTCCTTCGAGCCGGACAATTTGTTGTTGTTTAATGTAGTTTAGGTTTCCTCCTGTAGTAACACTGAATCGATAAGAGGTGATCCTTACTGTACCTCTAGGTGAGAACAGTACAGAACTGATACAGCTATCCAGTAGAAATGAAGTTAGTTTAAATTTCCTCCTGTAGTAACATTGGATCAAATAATAAGAGATGACTCTTAGTTGATCTCTAGGAAGAACAGTTTAGAACTGATAGAGTTATCCAGTATTGAAACCGCCACATAACTTCTTCTATTTACAGGCAATCCTGAAGCCAAAATGTGGTCGTATGGTAGTATTCTCCGCGGGATTTGAGAATCTCCACGGCGTGTTAGGTATCAAACAAGGCACACGATGTGCGCTGCCAATCTGGTTCACACTAGACAAGCGATACGATGAGAAACAACGCCATGATGCTGCCGAGGTATTACGAAATTTAAAACAAGACAAAGAGTCCGAAACTGAAGCGAATGAAGGTCATAAAGAACTGTAATGTACAATGTACACCAATCTATAAATTATAGTTTTTCTACAGCGTACAAGTTTAGCACGAATCATAATTCCTAACAGCAAGCGCTTGTTCAAAGTTATGACATATTCTCATTAGGATATCGTCTGTGTTGGTGGTATGCTGTATATTTGAAAAGACGAAAACCACGGCAGTTTTTTGTACTGCTGATTTATTTTTTATAATAGTTAGATATCCAGACTGCCAATTTTGTGATAGGTTTCGTTTAGGTCTTGCCAGTTGGCATATTTAGTGGTTCGCGTGGGAAGAATACATAACACAATACTGTATGGGATTCACTACTATATTGCAGCAAATGTGCTCAACCTACGATTATCGTAATGAGGAAATGTTATTTATTGTTTTCATTATATGTGTGTGAGTCTTTAAAGCCCTGGGCAAACTAAGAAACATTGTTGTGGAAACATTTGTGACTCGATATTTCCTCAAATGTTTCCCTGTTTGCCCACCCGTGGAAACATTGTTGCGGAAACAAAATTTGCTTCCCGAGAAGCAAAAATGTTTCCTAGCAAATTCAGAAACATTTGATGTTTCCCCATGTTTCTCACTAATGTTTCCTAGTGTTTGCCCACTCTGGGAAACACGGCGAAACATTGGTAGGAAACAATGTTTCCGCAACAATGTTTCCTAGTTTGCCCAGGGCTTAAGTCTTGGAAGTCTGAAGTTGATATCTGTTGGCTCGCTGACTGCAACCCAGCCTCCTCCATAGGCAACTCTGTGGCTTCCCAAACGGCGAAATTCAGAGGCGGAAGAACGCAGTATTTATTCTTTATTGTCGTATGTCTGGCCAAAAAGTGGGTGGTAACGGGGACAGAAAGAGGATTTAGAGTTGATAAAAGGGATTACGAGGGATTTGAGAGGATTCCCTTGCTAGCCCATCCTACTCGGCCGAAAGTTGACCAAGGTTTCAATTTAACCAAATTTCCCCGTTTGGGAACTCACAAAGTGGCTTGCTGAGGAGGCTTACTGAATGCCACCGTTAACCAATAGTAAACACTCCTAATCAGTGATGGTTTTGCCGAAGATTTCACACAAGACATAGTTCCTATACACTAGACGTTGTCTCCTACCATCTTAAACCCCGGCTGTTGACTTGACTTGATTAAACAAAGTGTTTTTGATAACTTGGGACATCAACCCATGTATCGCTTCAATTGTTGTCTTCGAGCTAAAATATAATCAGATGAAGATGGATCATCAGGTTTAGTGTAGACACAAGACAAACTATCCAGATGAACTAGAATAATGCGATCTATACTAGCAATGCTTCTGAGAACAAATCATGTCTATAATTTCCTGATAGCTTCAACCTGTGCCGTCTTTACACACATACACAAAACATCTGTCAAGATACTGTATTATTACATTTGTTGTGCTTAGTTTTTGGTGAAGAATGCCTGTGTTTTGCATACAAATTGACGAAGATGTTGTAGGTTAAATAAATTAAACGACATTTATATTTGTTTATTAAATTGTTAAGAAATTCTCACCTGTCTTTACTGGCTTTTGATAATTTCCCTTCTTCTTTCTTCTCCACATCACCGCTAGGAAAATAACCTCCCATTCTGCCAACCTAAAGAATAAATCATCTACTGAGCCAGACGATCTTAGGCCAGGGTCAAATGTCGAACTTTTCATGTGCCAAACCTAATGATAATGAGTTCTTTGTTTCACTTCATTTGCATTAGGTTCGGCACATGTTAAAAGTTCGACGTTTGACCGTGGCCTTACTTGTCCAGGGAGAGCACTGACGCTCATTGGTTTAATCAGACTATCTTGCCCATGTGTCTAGTTGAATACGACATAGTCAGTCTCTCTGTGCGCCGCAAACCACAGCAATGTATTTGATGTAATATATAATACACTGACCTGACCCTCAGCTTGTTCTAGTTTCTCAGAAAGATCAGAAATTTGCTGTGTTGTATAATTTGAATTCTATCAAAAAAAACCCAACAAGACAAAAATGTAAAACTGATGGAGTTATCCAGTATATAAATAAAGAAAAGCGCTATCCAGCATATAAATGAAGTTAGTTTCGTTCTTAAACTCACAGTAAGGAGTGTGCTTGATGACAAGGTATTAACCCAGTACTTATTCCATAACATATCAAGCAGTCGTTTATCCAGAGATGACTTGAAGTAGGAAACATCCAAAGAATAATATCTAAAATAACATATATACAAATTTAGGGTCTAGAACATGCGCAGATGCACAGAGCTTGTGGTGTCATGGTCACATGCTTGCCTTTGAAAGACCTCTACTCAAGGTCTTAAAATAACTGAAGAGAAAGTGCTACCTTTGCATTGACATCAGTGCATGGTTACACTTTTTCATCTTCTCGGATAAAGACGTTAAATCGTAGGTACCTCCGATAATGGACCTACTGTACTGTATTCCCTAATGAACACAATTTTGATCTAGACAAGTCTAGACAAAAATTTCACCACAGCTTGAAAGAGCATCACAAAATTAGTAATATTCCCAAGTTTCGTTGCGAAATGTTGTAAAATGCGGATAATACAGCACTGCAAAGTTTGCCGTTTTTCAGTCATTTTGTATTACGCACGGAACATTGATACCGCTTTCTGAAAAAAGGTATCAATTTCCCGCGCGTAATACAAAATGACTGAAAATTGCAATTTTCGCAGGACTATATTATCCGCATTTTACAACATTTCGCAACGAAATGTTACTAACTTTGTGATGCTCTTTCACGCAGTGATAAAATTTTTGCCTAGACTTGTCTAGATTAAAAATTTGTTCATTAGGGAATAGGTCCATTAGGTAATAGCCTGTTGGGAATTCAGTTCACCTTTGAGTGAGAAACTCAATAACGAAGAACTTACTGTTTACAGTGAACTCCAAAATCCTCAATTTTGTTCAAAGGAATAGTTTGATATTCAGATGGGCCCTCGTCTGGTGGTTTATAACCCTAGAGGGAATTCAGTATAATCAACTTCAAGCTTCACTGAGAATCTAGTTTCATATTGTCAGTTTCAAATCTTAAAAGGTCAAACCTTTGGATAGGTTCGGAATGCTCCTAAATTAACACGACCAGCTGATATGGTTCTTGTTGGATCAATCTAAATAGAAAGAAGCTTATTAAAGGGAGGGGCTTCTTAGAGAGAGGGGCTTAATAGAGAGGGAGATGTAATAGAGAGGGGGGCTTATTAGAGAGAGGGCTTATTAAAGAGGAGGGCTTATTAGAGAGGGGCTTATTAGAGAGAAGGCTTATTATTAGAGAGGAGGCTTATTAGAGAGGAGCCTTATTAGAGAGGGGGCTTATTAGAGAGGGGGCTTATTAGAGAGGGGCTTATTAGGGAGGGGGCTTATTACAGAGGGGCTTATTAGAGAGGGGATTTATTAGAGAGGCAAATTTGAGAGGAGGCTTATTAGAGAGGGGCTTATTAGGGAGAGGGCTTATTAGAGAAAGAAGCATATTAAAGGGAGGGTCTTATTAGAGAGGAAGCTTATTAGAGAAAGAAGCATGTTAAAGGGAGGGGCTTATTAGAAAGGGGGCTTATTAGAGAGGAGGCTTATTAGAGAAAGAAGCATATTAAAGGGAGGGGCTTATTAGAGAGGAGGCTTATTAGAGAGGAGGCTTATTAGAGAGGAGGCTTATTAGAGCTAGAGGGGACTTTATGACAAATGTGGATATGAAGACATACCACAATAGCTACAAATGGTTCTTGGAATTGTTGACTGACCATCTGTGTACCAACATCAATACCAGATAACCAACAACCATAGCCAGGGTGACTGTGGTACCATCCTATTGCGTTCTCAAGACGACCAACCTAGAATAACCAAAGAGCTCGCTGACTGACTGGCTGACCAAACAAACAAACAAACAAACAAACAAACAAACAAACAAACAAACAAACAAACAAACAAACAAACAAACAAACAAACAAACAAACAAACAAACAAACAAACAAACAAACAAACAAACAAACAAACAAACAAACAAACAAACAAACAACAAACAAACTGGCTGGCAACTAAACAACAGACAACTAAAGTGACCCATTGGTGGCCCTTTAATAAGTGAGCCAGATTATCCCCCACGTTGGTCAAATTTAGTAAAATTTCTCCCACTCGTGCGGGCTCATATTGTCAGAGAAGGTAGTTAAGGCATGAAGATCAGTGAACACAAGGAGCCAGAATGTGAAGAATGTACTCAGGATTTGTTAATGTAATAAACACATTTAAAAAAAAAAGTCTTACATGGTCTATACTGTACATTGAACCCAAAACCCTTCGTTGTGAAGTTCGGAAGTTCATATTGGAATTCACAAGCCAATTTGTAAACAAAGTCCCTGATTCATCCCTGAAGTAAAAGAAGCCAATCAAATGCGTAGTTTACAAACTGGTCTGTGAATCTCATTATCAACTTTTGAACTTCGCAACGAAGTTCGAAACATTTGTGGTCAAAGTTTTGTGAAATGGACTGTAATAACTTACAGTTTTAGCAGACTCAATGTAAGCAGCCATATACTCATTTTTCTAATCAAATTAATGTGCATGCATTATATTAATATTTATTTATTAAGTAAATATGTTATACAGGGTGCCCCAGAGGGGACCAAAGCTGTTGAGATGGCGTGTTGCTTGGGAATTGAATTGCCTTAGCACTCTGCTGAACCTATAAATGCATAAAAGCTTGACAAAAGTAAATTTTACGAATAAAGAAACTGTTTAAGAAGTTGCTTTAAATTCCAAAGAGCAGATAATCATGAGCTTACAAAGATATTTTAATTTCTTCAATACTCATATTATATGCATCATGTCGATCATATTTACGTATCTTTGCGTTCAGTTGGTGCTGGGCCGTTCGAATTCTGGCAGTGCGTTGTTTCAGTGGGTTTTTTTTTTTTGGGACACCCTGTACTGTATACTGTGAATTAATTAAAAGGTTTATGTTAGGAAAAGGAGGGGCACCATGCAATGGACTTTACGTCCAGTTTGTGCCTTGTCCGTTTGAGTACAGCTCTTAATTGTATGTTAGATAAATAATTGTTGAATTAATTTGTACTCAATAAAGTTTAACAAACAAAAATAACTTACAGTTTTAGCAGACTCAATGTAAGCAGCCATATACTCATAAGCTTGTGCCTGAGCATTCACTCTTGTTTCAGTTCCTTCAACAGGCAGAGCAAATGAATCCATCACAACCATGGTGTTCCCATCAACCTTGCCGAGCATCAGACCCATCACTTCTAGATTGCCACCTGACCTCGCATGCATTACCTGGAGTTATGAAAGATAGCGTGCTACACTTTATCTCAATGGTTAACCCATTGAGTTGCATTGCACCCCGATGCACCCTACTTTAGTATTTTACTCTGTCTAACGCCAGACAATTTTACTCGTCACGGGGAGAGCGCTGGTGCTTAATGGGTTAATTGGCCTATCTGCCCATGTGTCTAGTTAACCCATTGAGTTGCATTGCAACCCGATGCACCCTACTTTAGTATTTTACTCTGTCTAACGCCAGACAATTTTACTCGTCAAAGGGGAGAGCGCTGGCGCTTAATGGGTTAATCGGCCTATCTGCCCATTGAGTTGCATTGCACCCTGATGCACCCCACTTTAGTATTTTACTCTGTCTAACGCCATACGATTTTACTCGTCAAGGTGAGAGCGCTGGCGCTTAATTGGGTTAATCGGCCTATCTGCCCATGTGTCTAGTTAACCCATTGAGTTGCATTGCACCCCGATACACCCTACTTTAGTATTTTACTCTGTCTAACGCCAGACGATTTTACTCGTCAAGGGGAGAGCGCTGGCGCTTAATGGGTTAACATAGGCTTGGACGGTTTACCATGTTTTTTCCGGTTTTATTTTAAAACCGTTTTTTCAGTTTAGGCTTTAGAAAAACCGGAAAACCATCACAAACAGGCTACTATTCATACGATAATGGACACAAGGCCAATGAACAATCATTTATTGCACAATCACTTATTGGCAGATAGTGTCAAATAGTACAGTAATAATAACATTTCAATGATTATTTACCATTTTAAGCAAGGCCAAGGCTGATATTTTGATATTCTTGAAATAATGTGGGCTAGCAAAATAAAATGAATTTACATTGGTGATGACGGCACACTTGTTTGCCAGGATTTCTGCAAATGTGCAGTTGACTGATTACTGTAAACCTCCAAATATAAGCCCCCCTTGAATATAAGCCTCGATGTATAAGCCCACCACATGTACTAACGCTCACCTCATTCCAAATATGAGCCCCCCCTCTCGAATATAATTAAGCCCCCTCGAATATAAGTCCACCCGAATATAAGCCCACTTGTTTAAATCACTATTGTTTATCACTATTACCATGCTTGTTTAACACTTGTTTATCACTATTACTGAGTTGTAACTAGTGTACTAAGTTACTAGATGCATGCATCTGATTGGATGACGACTTGCTTTAACTGCTCGCAGAACTTTCCGAGCACACGCAGTTGATCATTTTTTGCCCGGTCGCCTAAAAAAAAGTGGGTACATGAAAACGCAAGCTTCCGCAGTGTTTACAACGGTCAGTTACAGCTCTGTAGATGTTTTACTCTGTGTCTGGGGGCTGGCTTTAACTCGGAAGTGGAAGCCCCTGGGTGACCTATAAACACTGAGTTAACTAGTTCCCTGAAACATTTCTTACAAATCCTTCAAAACTTTGATAGTTCAACCAGACTTAAGCAAAGCTTTGCATTGATCAAAGTGTGCAAACTGACTGAACAGTAACAACACAGATCAAACCAAGGACCTTTTTATATACTGATCAAAAGCGAGATCAAAAGTTTCATTGACAACACGTGTGATCCCACAAACATGGACCAATAAACAAGCCTTTTTACATTGAAATCAATGATCCGATCGCCCTATTGAGCAATCTAGCTAATAAAACAAGCATCCATCTTACACATACACTACAAGAACACAAACGTACTCTTTGGACCAAGGTTTGGCAGACAAAATCTCTTGCTGTTGTTGGCCATTATAACGAAATATGGAGTCGACACTTGGAACTGATTCAATGTTATTTTCCAGTTCCCAAGTTTTCTGAGCCATCGAGGTCGATGCCATAGTGCCTGAGTTAACGAAGATCACCGATCTTTTAAAACATGTACGAAAATTGCGCTAGATTGCAGAAAATCAACAAAAAACTCCTGTGGACTTTCAAATTTCTTCAAAGTATTTTCAACAACTTCAACGTTTTTAGTGCGCATGCGCGAAATAGTGCGTCCCACAAGCAACAAACAAATTAAATTTTGAAATGAAAACTGTGTATAAAATCAAGCACACAACTCATGTACGCCTGTTACCCAGGCTACTCATGTACGACAACACCTAGTAAAGTCATCTCTTATTCATCCAGTGCTACTACAGGAGAAAAGCTAAATTTAATTAACTAACTTCATTTTTTTAGATAGTTCTATCAGTTCTAAACTGTTCTCCCCAGAGGTCCAGTAAGAGTCATCTCTTATTGATCCAGTGTTACTACAGGAGGAAACCTAAACTAACTTTATTTATACTGGATAACTCTATCAGTTCTAAACTGTTCTTCCTAGAGGTGCAGTAAGGATCATCTCTTATTGATCCAGTGTTACTACAAGAGGAAACCTAAACTAACTTTATTTATACTGGATAACTCTATCAGTTCTAAACTGTTCTTCCTAGAGGTCCAGTAAGGATCCTCTCTTATTGATCCAGTGTTACTACAGGAGGAAACCTAACTAAACCAACTTTATTTATACTGGATAGCTCTATCAGTTCTAAACTGTTCTCCCTGGAGGTGCAGTAAGGATCATCTCTTATTGATCCAGTGTTACTACAGGAGGAAACCTAAACTAGACTTACTTTATTTATACTGGATAGCTCTATCAGTTCTAAACTGTTCTTCCTAGAGATCCAGTAAGGATCATCTCTTATTGATCCGATGTTACTACAGGAGGAAACCTAACTAAACTAACTTTATTTATACTGGATAGCTCTATCAGTTCCTAAACTGTTCTTCCTAGAGATCCAGTAAGGATCATCTCTTATTGATCCGATGTTACTACAGGAGGAAACCTAAACTAAACTAACTTTGTTTATACTGGATAACTCCATCGGTTCTAAACTGTTCTCCCTAGAGGTCCAGTACGGTCAAGCTTGAGTAATTAATTCAAGCTAGTGCTCGAGTTATTTCGTGCGCACTCTCTAAGTAAATTCAGGTAGCGTCAATTTTGTTAAAAATATATCTAATAGTTTACGTGTTTATATACAAACGCAGGTGGCTTTACGGGTGGTTATATGCTTGCTGCATAATACACACAAGCTAAAGACCTCGTACAGTACACTTACAACAGGAACAAATTCCAAACAATTAAACAAAAGAAAAGTATTAATAAACGGTAAGTTCTTCCTTTTGTTCTTGAAATTCTTCTTATTTTATATAAAAAAGCAATTGCTGGTTTGAAGACAAAACTAAAATGCGATTAATGTTAGCTTTGATTTGGTTTTCATTTTGATACAGTGAGTTAGTTTATACGGGTGTGTATATAGAAACATTCTCCCTTTCTTTAATCAGGATTTTGCGCATGGAAATATTTAGAAATAACAGTTGCGAAAAATGCAACGACAAGCCCTCTGGCAGGAATTTTTCACAATTTCTTCTGGTTAGGTATAAGAAATGTATAAAATTCACACTGGCAAAATTTCTATCTACAAAAACCCTTATAGTGTGGCGGATATGTGCATGGATGTTTCCGAAGAGGGTTAAAAGCACCAAATTGTGCACAGTAGCATCTTTTTATGAGTAGAACAACATGCAAAAGTGGGGACATCGTGAAACCGGTTTTTTTAGAGAGTTACGATGCTATTAGCATTATTTGCTATTAAATTCTACTACAACAAAAAATGTGAAATTTTGAATTCAATCGCGACAAATACAACTTGCATCCGATCAGAAAGCTTGTAAAAAACTAAAAAAAGGACTTTTAAACAGTTTTCTTTATTCTTCAAATGTGACAAAAATTGTGAAATTTTGAATTCAATTGGGACAAATATAACAAGTCAAGTCAATTTATTTACCACACAATTTAGAAACTTACAATCGAAAAAACACAATATAGATTATATATATATATATATATCGAAAAGCAAAAACATTACATTAACAATTAATTACAATATTCATTTGGTTGTTACAAAATCTAATTACTAATTGGCGACTGCCAAATTAAGAATAAAAAAATGATAGATAGATTATTTGTCCAGTGTTACTACAGGAGGAAACTAGGGTACCTGGAGAAAATGAACAGTGTTACAAATCTTCTCATAGCAATAGATATTTCCGAGTTTGCTAGAATGAACACGAAACAATACCGGGGCGAACAATGTGAAATCAAGTCCCGGTCACAGAGATAAAAAACACGTCTTTGTGATTGAATCTTCACGTTCTAGGTACACAATGTGGAGGAAAGTGGTCCGATGGCGTTTCTTTATCGTGGTTACACTGACTGCCTCACTACTGTGGTTTATAAACAACGCAAGTATTAAACAAGTCGAAATGAAACAAGAAGTTAATATCATTAATAACATTGATCAGGTATACTCGCAATTTATGCATAACGCAATTTATGCTATAGACGCCCCACGGAGCCGTATGCAAATCAATCCTTGCCCGTCCCGATTACGATAAATTACACTACCCTTGCCCGGATTTCGTAGTCATATAAAACATTGTATAAAACAAGGCTTGGCACTTAGAAAATTTTTGCCTGATCGAAGAAATTTTTTCGTCATAGACCGATTTAGAAAGGTCCAAAACGCATATTAACGGAGATAGGTTTGGCTCAGGGGAATTTTAAAGCGCATTTTCACATGGCTATCATAGCACTGACCCGTATGCAAATGATTCCTTGCCCGTCTCGATTACTATAAATTACACTACGCTTGCCCGGATTTCGCAGCCATATAAAACTAGGCTTGGCACTTAGAAAATTTTTGGCTGATCGAAAAAATTTTTTCGTCATAGACCGACTTAGAAAGGTTCAAAACGCATATTAACGGAGATAGGTTTGGCTCAGGGGAATTTTAAAGCGCATTTTCACATGGCTATCATAGCACTGACCCGTATGCAAATGATTCCTTGCCCGTCTCGATTACTATAAATTACACTACGCTTGCCCGTCCATTAATATAAATTACACTACGCTTGCCCGTTGCCCGGATTTCTGAGTCAAATAAATTTTTGGCTGACCGAAAAAATTTTTTCCTCATAGACCAACTTAGAAAGGTTCAAAACGCATATTAACGGAGATAGGTTTGGCTCAGGGGAATTTTAAAGCACATTTTCGCATGGCTATCATAGCACTGAGCCGTATGCAAATCAATCCTTGCCCGTCCCGATTACTATAAATTACACTACGCTTGCCCGGATTTCGCAGTCATATAAGTAGGGTTGGCACTTAGAAAATTTTTGGGTGAGCGAAAAAATTTTTTCGTCATAGATCGACTTAGAAAGGTTCAAAACGCATACTAACGGAGAAAGGTTTGGCGCAGGGGAATTTTAAAGCGCATTTTCACATGGCTATCATAGCACTGAGCCGTATGCAAATGATTCCTTGCCCGTCCCGATTACTATAAATTACACTACGCTTGCCCGTTCATTAATATAAATTACACTACGCTTGCCCGTTGCCCGGATTTCGAAGTCAAATAAATTTTTGGGTGAGCGAAAAAATTTTTTCGTCATAGACCAACTTAGAAAGGGTCAAAACGCATATTAACGGAGAAAGGTTTGGCTCAAAGGAATTTTAAAGCACATTTTCACATGGCTATCATAGCACTGAGGCGTATGCAAATCAATCCTTGTCCGTCCCGATTACTATAAATTACACTACGCTTGCCCGGATTTCGCAGTCATATAAAACTAGGGTTGGCACTTAGAAAATTTTTGGCTGATCGAAAAAATTTTTTCGTCATAGATCGACTTAGAAAGATTCAAAACGCATACTAACGGAGATAGGTTTGGCTCAGGGGAATTTTAAAGCGCATTTTCACATGGCTATCATAGCACTGAGCGGTATGCAAATGATTCCTTGCCCGTCCCGATTACTATAAATTACACTACGCTTGCCCGTCCATTAATATAAATTACACTACGCTTGCCCGTTGCCCGGATTTCGAAGTCAAATAAATTTTTGGGTGAGCGAAAAAATTTTTTCGTCATAGACCAACTTAGAAAGGGTCAAAACGCATATTAACGGAGAAAGGTTTGGCTCAGGGGAATTTTAAAGCGCATTTTCACATGGCTATCATAGCACTGAGCCGTATGCAAATGATTCCTTGCCCGTCCCGATTACTATAAATTACACTACGCTTGCGCGGATTTCCCAGTCATATAAAACTAGGGTTGGCACTTAGAAAATTTTTGGCTGATCGAAAAAAATTTTTCGTCATAGATCGACTTAGAAAGGTTCAAAACGCATACTAACGGAGATAGGTTTGGCTCAGGGGAATTTTAAAGCGCATTTTCACATGGCTATCATA